GCCGCGGAGCTGATGGACCCCAACTGAGGACCATCCACCTACCCAGCGATTACACTGCGGGGAGCCCCTGACCGGCTTCTCATGGCCCAGCCCACGGCAAGAGGCTGCCCAGGCCCCAGGGGAGGGCCCGGCAGCCCCTCGAGGTGGCGGCTGCTCACCCTCCACGCAGCGGCAGCCGGCCTGCAGGACCCGGGCGTACATGTCCACGCGGGACTGGGACATGAGCTGGTCACCCACGAGGTAGGTGTTGTGGGATGAGGTGATGAAGTAGTGGCTCAGCGGGAGGCTCATGTCCTGGTGCACGCTGTGGTGGGCCGGGTTGAAGATGTCTCCTGCCGGGCTTCGAGTGTAGTTGGTGAAGCCTGCCAAAGGTGGGGGAGGGTGGTCAGTCCTGTGTGTGGTCAGTCCCGGACTGGTCGAGCAGGGGCCTCAGATCAGAGCCACCCACCCTACCCACCGCATGGGGGCCACTAGGTCTGGCCACTGCCTCGTGACCAGCTCGTGTTGGGGCCCATGGTCCCGGGACAGTGGACACTCATGCCCAGCCCCCACTCACCATCAATTCCCAGCACTCCTTTGCTCTTGTTGTCCGGGCAGGGTTCAAACTGCTCGATGATGTCCCGGCAGCCCTCAAGGGTCACGCCTGTCATCTGGGCAGATGGAGGGAGGGAGGCAGGCTGCATCACAACTCTCCCGGACTAACCTCCGGCAGCACCTGACCCTCCCCATGGCCACTGTCCCCCATCTTCTGATCATCCAGCAGACTCAGAGGCCAGCAGAGGATGGATGGGGGATGGAGTGCAGAGAGCCAGGCTGAGTCCTAGCCTTGGGGAATGCTGGGGGCATAAGGAGGCCCCTGTTTTCTACCCCAGGTCTACCCACAGGTGCCCGTGATGCCGCCAAGGCCAGAAACCCAGGTTTCTGGTGGCAGGAATGTGTACCCCAGGGGATGAGGGCAGGGGAGGTGGGTGACCATGGGTCGGAGCTTGGAGCCTGCTGTGGGTCCTCAGGGAATCCACATCCCAGGAGATTTGGCCAAGACTCGAACTCCCACCCAGTGGGCACTGCCCTGTATGTGGAGGAAGGCCCCAAAAAGTCAAGGTCAGGGGCGGAAGGGTCAGCTTTGTCTGTCTCTCTCCTGGGCCACCCTTGACCCTCTCATCCACATGGGCCAGGTCACCCACAGCCTCGTCAATGCCCGGCAGTGGCTGGGTTGGGGAGAGAGGCAGCCAGAGGAGTGGCGGCGGCTAGATGAGATGCCACCCAGCAAGGCTGGAAGGAAGGCTGACAGCCAGGGAGACTGGGCTGCTGACAGCTGCAGGGCAGGGAAGTCCTAGTGTGTCAGAGCGAACCCCGGAAGGTGCTCCACAGCTATTCCGACAGCTCATTTGCACTCAGGGATGGCCCCATGAAACTGACCATGTGCCTGCACCTACATTTCAGCAGAGTATTGTTACAGGTGAGCAGGACCCCTGGGCTCAAACCTGGCAGCCCAAGACCTGCCCCTCTCCCTCTCTAGACCCCTGAGCCTCTGCACGCTGAGGCCAGGGTCAGCAGGGCAGTACCTAGGAGGTTGTAGCCTCCATACCGGCCCCTGGACTGGACACGGGCTTCTAGAATCAAGGTCCAGAGGCACGGTGCCCATGAGGCACTGAGCACATGGGTGCATGGGCATGTAGGGGGAAATTCCCAAAATCTAGGTCCTGAAGCCCAGACCCTCCACTGGAAGCTTGGGTGACTACGACAGGGACAGTGCTCTCAGGCCCCGTGGGAAGTCCAGATGCTCTACCTGTACAGCTGGTAGAGTGGGGACCAGCTGCAGGAGTGGGGTGGGCTGGAGCAGGTGCTGAGGAGGCCAGGCTGTGCCCACCGCCTCCCAGCGAGCAGCCATGCCAGCACCCCTACCCTCCCCACACACCCCTGGGCTCCCTCACCTTCTGCTCGACCTCCAGGAAGCGCTGCAGGTCACTGGCGTCCAGGTGGTCCTTGTGGTTGCTGTAGGTCAGCAGGAGCAGGTAGAGGTCTCGGCGCGTGGACATTACCTTGTAGAAGGCGCAGAACTCCTCAAAGTCCAGTGTGCCCTGCTGATCATCTGTGTCCGCTTCCTGCAATCCAAGGTCACTGGGTCCCCTTCTGCGACCTCACATAGCCACAGGGGTCCCATCCTTGGCTGAGTGGACCTGAAGCTTGCCCCCACTTCCTGTTTCTCTGCTGCCTCTCCTTGCCACGTCACCTCGCTCCACGGAATAGAGCTGTGCCTCCCTCACCCTTCCTGCCTGTCCCCACCAAGAGTCACTGGGGTGAGTGTTTTAAGACCCAAGTCTGGCCCCCAGCTCTGTGTCTCCCGAAGCCTGTCTACAGCAAATGCACCCCAATTACCCACACGGGGTGTCAGCATCCACCCTGGGCTGTGGAGCCTCTAATAAAAGCAATGCCCTGGGATTGGGGTCACTCAGCACCTCTTCTCGGTTCCTGTCTGCCTGTTCCTCACAAGTCACCCCCAGGACCTTCTGGGGCTCCCTGCAGGAGCTGCGGCTCCACAGTGCAGACCGACCAGGGGCCCTACTGAGAGTCCAGCCTGTTTGGTGTCCTTACAGAGGAGAGAGGGTAGGGTCATCCCCATGGGGGCCTTCTCCAGCCAGGCTTCGGCACTGAGACCTCAGCCCCAGGGACTGGACACCCTCACACCGGCCTGGCGAGGACCAGCTCCCCAGAGCAGGGCCAGCAGCACTGTCAGCACCACGGACAGCACCATGCAGGCCTTCGTGGCTGCGGAGGGGGAGAAGGCCTGCTGAGGGCTCTCTGAACCAGGAGCATTACAGACACCCTCCGTGTGCCTGTGCCCATGAGAAAGGGCTCCCGGGAAGAGAGGATTGGCTGTGCATCTGGCTGCACCCAGCATCGGGTCTCTGCAACTCCCTCGGGGCCCGCTTGATGGTGCAGGGCCAACAGATGCCCAAGGAAGATCCCCTGCATCGGATGCCGCTTGGAGATGGCTCAGAGGTATCATTAGCTGTCTCCGGTGAGAGACCGGGTCACCCGTCGTCTGTCATCGGACGCTCGCATGATGCTGTGCTGCTAACCAGGTTTCAGCGGAGCTTCCCCACGGACACAGACTAGGAAGAAAGGCCTGGCAACCCCACCCCCACCCAAATCAGCCAAGGAGAGTCTCCTGGATCACAATGGCTGATCTGAAACAGGTCGAGGGGACGGAGCTGGGATGGGCAGTGTTCTGGGGTCACCAGGAGCCAGGGCCTGGGGTCCTTACAGAAGAATGAGTGCAGGAGGTGACCAGAACTAGGATTGTGCACTGGGACCTCCGCCCCAGGAGCTGGGCATCCGCAGAGCCGCCAGAGCCAGGGCTTGGCCTCCCCCCACCCCCACTGTCTGTCACCTGACCCCCGCACAACCTCACCTCCCTGGAAGGGCTGCTGACCTCCATGTTGGCCCTGGCACTGGGATGGGGCAGAGATAGTCAAGCCTCTCATCCCCACACAGACTGCTCTCTGCTCAGAGGCAGGCCGGTCGCCTCGCTCCAGCCAAGCATGACCGCCCTGTCCATGTCAAGACGGGCAGCACGGCCCGCAGTACTGAGAGGAGCCGACAGCTGGGGCATCGGCAGCAGGGGTGGGATATTGGGCAGAGTCTGCAGTTCAGACTGAGACCCCCTCCTCCAGCAGGGAGCAAGAGCATGAGGCCCCGAGAGCCAGCCGGCAAGGTTTAAGACCCGCTGGCCCCAGGCTTCGACACCCCCAGAGCAGGAATGCTGACTGCTGAGCTTCCCACTCCAGCAGGGGCTCCGGAAAGACAGCAGCTAATTACAGACAATTAAGCCTGCCGCTCTGGCTGGAGTCTAGGGGATACATTTTCATAACTTCTAACCGCGGGGTAGCTGGGGTGCTGCAGAGGCTGGGAGATGGCTCCGGGAGTGGGTGGTGCCTGCGAGGGCACCTGGGACCCCGGGGGGAACCAGGCTTTCCCACTGTGGCACTCTGAGGGTGCCAGGAGAAGGGGCTCTGGCTCAGGGCAGGTTGGTCTCCGCAGCAATGACCCCCGTTGCCCGACCTTGAACATCTGCTTCACGCGCTGCCGCGGCAGGTTCACGTTCAGCTTGTGCAGCAGCTGCAGCACCTCCCCGATGCTCAGGCTGCCATCCCCGTTCTTGTCCGCCTCGTCAAACGTCTGCTTCAGCCACTTTGGGGCGAGTTAGGGGCCAACGGCATCCGTGGGGCTGTCCAGGGGCTTCCCCCCACCCACCCACCCCCGCGCGGCCCCACTCCACCTGGCCCACCCCAAGGATATTGGTCCCGGGTGCGCTGCCGGCGGGCCAGGCTGTCCTCGTCACTGATGCCGGCCATGAGGTAGCGCAGGCCGGTGACCCAGGTGCGGGCCTCGTCCCCGCTGGACGAGACCAGGTCCAGCGAGTCCCGGTGGTCGCCGTAGTAGACGCTGAAGCAGCAGTTGGGGTCGAAGGTGCCATGGGGGTAGCGCTGGAAGATCTCCGACTGCCGGCCTTCGCTCACCTCCTGGATGGAGTCGATGGAGACTGCGGGCCGGCCGCAGGGCAGACAGGGTCAGCCCTGGGTCCCTGGCTCGCTCTCCACTCAGGCCCACAGCCCGCAGGGCCCGGGGAAGCGGCCATGGCCGAGTGGCCTGGGCCATGCTTAGCGCTGGGCCGTCGTCATAGCAACGGCTCAGCACCAAGCCTGGGTCCCTGTAAGCCCTGATTGCCAAGGCTGCTGCGTTTTTTTCCTTTCTGTGTTGGGGTGAAGCCCTTTCATGCCTGCAGGCACAGATCCGCCCTGGAAAGCCCAGGGGGGCCATGGGGGCCGGTGACTGACAACACCCCTGACTCAGAGGCTCCACACAGCATCACCCCCCCCATCTCCCACCCTCTCTACGGCCCAACCTGCCCTAATGCTTGGAGTGCGCTGGGGTGGGAGCTTGGGGACCCCCACACCCCAACAAAGCATTGGCTGCCCTCCACTCTGCTCTGACAGAGAGAGCCCCCTCTCCCACTTTGAACATGAAAAGA